TGCAACGACACGAGCATCCCGCAGTCAGGCACAGACTGAGCAGTCAATAACCAAAATCACCTCTGCTTGCACATCCCAGGCAAACCCAAAAGGTTTTTGGCTGCCTGGCTGAGGTCAAGGTACCTGGGGGCATTCGGAGCAGCTCTCCCCTCTCTGTGCTGGGGAAACCACCAGTCACCAGTGGACAGCCCCAGCCTGAGCTGCTCTGAACTGTGCTGGAAACAGGACACTGAAAGCAAAGTGAGATGCGACCACAGGAAGCAGTATCAAAGGGCTCTGCCCTGCCACTCTCAGTGCTGGAAGCCAGAGGCCCATTTTGGCAGCACTGATTTCCCCATGTGTAGAAGTAAATTCATGCCAGCCAACTCTTGATCACTGCCTCATCATTTCTGTAATGTCAGTCAGCTTAGTTTAGGGGTTGAGTCACTTGGGACACTGAAATGGCCTTAAGAACACACAAAACTGTTTCAAAGACACTAGTCACTCTCTTCTATTAGTTCTCATTTTCCCAGACTTCTCTTTTTCTCCATTCTTGCTGAATCCAGACCTGAGGATTGAGGGTATGCTATCAATGCACAGTTGAGGGAGTAACGTGTCCCACTCAAATAAGAACAGCTGTAATGTAGAGTAACACTCGAATGGCTATGCTTACACCACCATTGTGCTCATGAGCTATGGCAAGCCTTCTGAGATGGCATCCTGTGGTTGCAATGTAGTGAGCTCTCCCAGTGAATGGGGAAAGCTCTTGCCTATTCTTCATCATAACAACTTTGGGGGAAGTAGGAAAGTAATGGCAAGATACCCACACTCAGGTTTAGTGAGGTTGCACTCCCCTCAGCCATGGGACTGGTCGTGCTCACCCTTCTTGTCAGCCTGACCACGGGCACCTTTGAGACAGCAGCTGAGTTTTCTTTCAGGCATTGCTCTCTATCTTGACAAAGAGAGGTGCCTGTTGTAGTGCACAAGGAGCTTTCACTCCCATTTTCTAACTCAAGAACTGACTCACACAGAGAGTAGCTGTTGTTTGAGGCCACACAGGAAGCCCGACACAGTGTGTGGGGGCAGGCTTTAAACAAGTCCTGCCAGGATGACCTCCCTCCTGCTTTAGCTTCCCCACCTAGAAGTGGCCAGATGACTCTTCCTGAGTGGCAGCTTAATGTCCTCTGTCCACCCAAACTAGCAACAATGCCCAGGTTGTAAATTCAAGGCAACCTCTCTGTTAAGACCAAGAGCCCACTCTCAGAGAACACTGGTAGAGTATGTTCCATGGTCTTAAGGAGCCATGAATTTTGGGCCACATTTGAAATACCTGCCCACCCTGAAAACCTCAGCTCTTTACGGTGCCCTGGGTTGGGCCTCCAGTGCTGACAGGCCTCCAAGGACATTGTTCTGTCAAGAGGACAAGTTCTGTGAGATGCCTGAGGAAACTCACAGAAAAGCTGAGCTCTTCTTGCCCCTTTTCACTGTCTGCAGTGTTTCCAAAAGTGACTAATGATTTCAAGGATCCTAATTTTACACCATATAAATTTAATGTCCTAAATCTGCTGATGGGATACCTAATTTTACGTTTTAGCCCCACAGATGCTCATGACTGGTGGCCTTGGCCAAGCTTCAGAGGAGCAATACTTTCCCCACGAATAAAAAAAGAGCTTGACAACAAGAAGTCTTTTGTTCAAAGCAGTGCATCAGAAACCAAGATAGGCAATGCAGCTGATCTGCTGAGGTTCACCATATGCCAAAACCAGGTTCTTGCTCATGCCAAAGTAGAGAGCATGCTCCTGCCCACAGGACTCACTGTAAGCAGGAAGCTCTAAGAGTTTAGGTGGATGGTTAACAACATAAAACACAAGTGTTTAAGTCTTCAACACTTACCATCATTTGCCAGCCTTTCTGCTTTCTTCCTCCTGATACAATAAATAAGCAAAATCATGAAGGTGACAAAGAAGAATGCACCTCCTGCTATGCTTAAGATGAGATAAAGGTCCAGCTGACCTAGTTAAGGAAATGAAAGAAGATGTTAGGGAGAAAGAAATAACTTGCACAACGTCTGCCTAGAATTCTGTATTTCTTCCATCAACTGTAAAGGCAGCCCCAGTGAGAGAGCCCATCCTTTTGCCAGAGAAACTCTCTACACAGGATAAAGTTGCTGGTCCTCACTGTGGAGAATTTTGTCTGCTCCCTGATGGATCTAAGTTCTGCAGAAAATTGAAACCATTCCTGTGTGCCAGCTCATCTGATTTAAATTAGCACAAATGCCCTGGTCCTGCTAGCAATGGATACTTCTAAGGACAATGAGCATGCAGGTAGTGCACAGCATCTAACAAAACTAGACTTTCAAAGTACTTCCCACTGAGCTGGAAACACTGAGACTAGATCGCTTCAGAGCATTTTGGTACTTCCTCTTCAATTTTTGGCTGTAGGCAAATTTTCAAAAATAGTAAAAGGAAAATAACACAACCAAATATGCCAGTCTCAAAACAAGAGTTCAGTTTGCCCAGTGAGCAAAAATTTATATTAGAGTTCCTTATTGTTGCCAGTGAGGTTTGCGGGATGCTGCCCTTCCTTCACCACTTCCTGCTTGGGCTGTCCTCGCATCCAGTGTTCATGCTTGATCATGGGTGCTGTGGAGTGAACCAGCAGAAGTGCATCTTCCTTGGGGGACAAAGTTCCAAAGGGGATGGCACCACTGGTACCACTCTTACCATTCACTGGGCATGCGCACGGGGGGCAGAGAATGATGGCACAAACAATTTAAGGATGAAGTTCTTCCCTGTGAGCGTGGTGAGGCACTGGAATAGGTTGCCGAAAGAGATGGTGAATGCTCCATCCCTGGCGCTGTTCAAGGCCAGGTTGGACAGAGGCTTGGGTGACATGGTCTAGGGTGAGGTGCCCCTGCCCATGGCAGGGGGCTGGAACTGGATGATCTTGAAGGTCCTTTGCAACCCAAACCATTCAACGAATCTATGATTCTATGACTACAGTATAAAGGCCACCCACCACCAGCCTGGGCTGCCCCAGTGGAAAAAAGGAAGACAAGTACCCTCACTGATGTGGTTCTTTCACCTTTCTTAGCTGCCAGTGCTACACAGAGGTGTATTTTGCCATTTCCATGCCTATTTCTCCCAGCTGACTCTAAGTTGAGCCCTGGCAGATTCACACATGGTTAACACTCAACTGAGTCAACTAGCACAACTGAGCTAAAGTCCATCAGAAATATGCCTTGCCTGCTAAAGGTCAAAATTCAAGGTGGTAGGCCTCGAATGCGGGACCAGATATTCATGGAGGGCAGTAGGGTTGGGAAGAGGTCAAGTTGCAAGCTGAGGAGTTTGTAATCTACTATGGAGCCGGGCAGAATCCAGCCACCACACACAACAATTTGAGGGGTTTTTAGTTTGAGTAGGGAGGGTAGTGCTACAAGTCTTCCTGTGGGTTTTTTTGGTGTCTGAGGAAATGCTATATTTGTGTTTTGAAGATCAGTGTGGCAAACCTTTTATTTCTCTGCTAACAATGTGAGAAAAAACAAGCTCTGCCACCCAACTCACCCTGTGAAGGAAGAGCATTTCTCAAGGGTGAGAAGAAGTGAAATCAAGTATCTAGCTGATGACTAATGCCCGGCTATACCAGCAGTGCAGGCAGGCCCATGCTTGCCTGTCTTGTGCCCTGGGATGGCCAGCTTCAGACAGCATTTCCTAATTAAGACATGTTTGGGCTAGTTTGCCCAGGTAGACCAGCTCCAGTGGAAACAGCATTACAGTGCGCTCCGAGGGCCTCTCTGCCACTCATAAAGCTCTTGACTCCAGAAAAGCCTCTCTCCCTCTTCCAGCGACCCCCAGGCCTCTCAGAGGATGGGGAAAAACACCACTAGCCACAGGAGAAGAGGAGGAGCATGGCCCACCTCACATGCCACTGCCCCCAGCTTGGGCTTCCTGCTGTTAAAGCAGGGATGCCATAAGGGTAGCAGTGCGGTAGGCAGCAGCAGGGTGGAGAAGGTAGAAATGCAACAGGGTTGGGGAATGCCAAGCAGGAAGCATGACTCATATCTCTGCTATATCTCTGCTACCACAGCAGCATCAGGTCCCAGTAACTGTGGCAGTGTTAGACTTGCACTACTGGGTACCGGGAACCATCAATGCTCCTGACACCTGGACCGGTCCTACAGATACACACAACTGGGTCACACTTTGTGGGTCCACTTCAGCAGATTCTGGCAAAAATAGAGTTTTTACCTGAGCACTTAATTACTTTTTCAACCATTTTTTGGCTGACTTGGTTCTTAACAACACATCTGAACGTCCCAGCATATCGCGTGTGGAATTCCAACCTCGTTGCATTCTTTTGTATCTTTTTGCTTTTATCTTGAGTCACTTCCATTATAAATGTTTCATTTTTAGTCGTCTGCTTCACTTCACATTTGATAGATATGGTTTTGTTCACGCATTCAGCACTGAGGATTGGCTGAGGCACAGGCTCTGAAAAAGAAGAGAAGGGACAGGCACTTCTGAGATGGTTTCTCCTTTTGAAAACCTCCGTTATTAAGCAGAACAGAGTATTAGCCCCCAAGAAGCAGCGAGTAACACCAGCTAATAAGACCAGAGAAGAATATAGACCAAATTAGACCTCTACTAGAGAAGTAACATGGTCACGATAAAGAAAATACAGTATATTAGTCTACCTATTTTAGCCTGGCAAAGCAGAGCTGTGCCACTATGGCTGGACTACTTTCAGGCTGAGCATGGCCCGCAGCCAGCCAGGCAGGCAGGCAAAGGGAGGAAGCTCTGTTTTCAGGGGAGGCAGTGGATGGGAGGGACTCAGAGCCACAGCCCCCTCCAACTCCAGCATCCCAATGTTTTGGTGCAAATGAAGTTGGCTCTAATCCACCTGTGGCCATCAGGAGAGGCTGTTTCTAAGGCAGGACTAAAAGCTACTTGTGATGCTTTATGTACTACCAGTGGCACCCAGCTAGCACAACAGCCACAACATGAAAAACCCATCAAAACAGAACAGAAAACACAAAAAGAGACACTTCTTAGCTCTCAATGAGGCTATGTCAGAGAGAACTGGTTTCTGTCTTTTTTTACATCCTGCAAACAGCTAGCTACATTTTGGTTCCAGATTCTCTATCACTGGTGGCACTGAAAGAGCCAGAAAAGCAAACTGGCAGGGACATCACATGGGAAAACAATTAATTCCTACTTTTTAGACCAGGTAAACAAATCCATGCCAGGGCCACCTCTAGTTACAGCAAATAAGGGCTATTAGGTTTGTATTGAAGTATAATCTGTCTGATAAATGGCTCTAGCACCCAACAGTTACTAGAAGACTTTACTTCTAAAGCTGCATGTTGAAGGTAAGGCAACCTCTCTGCTGCACAGCAGATGAAAATGATGAAATGATGCAGCACACAGCTGGGTTGGAACCTTAACCTGAAATTGAACCCAGGACACCCCAATGACAGCTCAGTGGCTTAAAGCATGAGTAAATAGCATGAGGCCCTGATGACTTCCTGAATCTGTAGGTTGTTTGCAATAGTAATTCCCAAAGCAGTGAGATGCCCTCTCCACTCAGCAGTCCATTAGCCACGGAGCCTCCCACTGTACAGAAACCCTGCTAAAACCATTCCAGATGTTGTTGCTGCCTTATCAAGGCATCACTTCCAGAGTACCAGCTGGTGCCCACATACTCTAGAGGCTGGCAGAGGTGTGCACGCTGGCTGAAGAAGGACAGAGCAAAATCATTCCCTTGCTAGGAAAAAAAACCATGCTGCCTCACAGTTTAGGGGTCTGGAAAGGTGGCAGCATCCATAAAGGAGCAGAATAGCCATCACGTCTTCCCTACTCATCCCAAAAGCTTTGGACTGCTACCATTCTATCACTCAGGACAATACACAGCACAGGATTGGAGGACTGTAGGATGCCTTCATGCTTGGAACCCACGTAGCTGAAATCACCAGGCGGGTGCTTAAGTGTTCTTCAAACAGCACAATCTTTGTATCTGTGGTGTGATGTTATGCAAGGATAGGGTGCAGGATTCTCCTGTCCTTGCAAATTCAACTCCTGTTGTGCTGTATCTCAAAAGAAGTGACTGCTGGTTACTTTTAATGTTGAAGCAAAAATGCAGTGGAATTGCATTGCCTAAATACAGGCATTTAATGCCACCTGGGTTCCTGAGCTCTTCTCAGGAACTGGCAGATGGAGTGCAAAGTTCTCACCTTGCTGGAGCACTGGGTAGACACCAAAAGTCATAACTCAGTACCCATGAAATAGCACCAGAAGTGGTTGCTGTGCTCCCACAAGAGGTTTCTGGAAGCAGGGTGCTGCTGGGAGCACAGCCCCACTTGCATGGTGCTACCCCAGCTCAGGCCCCATCGAGGCACCGCCTTAGATGCTGCAGTGGGTTTGTCCACGCTCACCCTGATGTGCTCATTGTTGCTTGCTTGGACACATGTAAAAACATGTTGGCCAACAAAAAGGGGAACCAGAAAGATGCAAGAGGACCAGAGGGCATCAACAGGAGCAAGGGAAGGAGGAAGAGATCCCGGCTGCTGTCAGTGGCTGGAGGAAAGAGGTGAATATCAGAGAAGTCCCTGCCCCTAAAAAAGCAGAAAGGGGGGCAATGAGCAGGAAAGGCTGTAGGAGAGAGGGGGAATACCGAGTCTTATTCAGCTATGATGGAAATTGTATGGACAGAGCAAAAACTCACCCTGAACGATGAACATCGTGTGTTCTTCTGCCTTCAGTTTTCCATCCTGCTCATAGACAGTCACTGTGTACTGTCCACTGTCCTCTTTCACCGCCTGCTCTATTTGCAGAGTCCCATTTAGGAATATCTTACACCTGCACTGCTCTTTGTTCACATAGTACTTAACTTTCCTGTCCTTTATCTGAAGCAACCTTTTTCTGTTTTTCACCCATGTTGCATCATATACGCTCCCAGCAGCAGCGATGCTGAGAAGAGCCGACTCATTCACCGCCACGTAAAACCAGTTGGTGGCAGAGCCTGTAAAGGGAAGCACAACCAGCTTGTCAATGTGTCTCTAGCAGCACCTACTCTAGTGCTCAGCAGCTGCAGTGGTGACCCAAAAGGTCTTCACTTGCTACCTGGCCCACACACACACACCCCGAGTTGCCTAAGCCTCTCTGCATTACTGATGCTGTCTTCTTCCCCTAGTCCAAAGCACCTCTTGATCATTCATTAGATAAATATCAGTGCCCAGTTTAATTCTGAGAGCCAAGGAAGCTAAGAGTCCAGCTTTCAAAAGCTGGCTTTATACTCTGGCTGACTTTTTTGGAATGCTTTTGGATGCCAAAATTCACGGCTGCCCGTGGACTTAACACCGAAGTTAACCATCCCTGAAAACAAGGTCATTTTGGTTTTGCACATGGCACAGGCTGGTACCCAGAGCACCCGTCACTGCAAGCATTACTGTGGACAGCAAGAACACAAACTAGTAGTGGCCATGGACAGTAAGATCAGTTCAGCAATGACAGTGATGGTAATAATAATAATAATCATAGCCCATGTCAAACAGTGAGTGAGTGTAAGGCACAGAACTGGAGGCAGACCCAGTGCTGCCAACTTGCAGTGCCCCCTCCTCACCTCTCCTGGACACTCTGCCCCACTGAACTATATCCACTTGATTTTTCTAGCACAGAATCACAGTGTGGCGAGTAAGGCAGGCAGAAACAGACAGCTAACCCCATCCTGGGAACTGATCAGGCACTGGGGCCATTAGGAGAGAAGTAAAGGCTAAAAAGGTCTTTTTTCTCTGCAGATGTCCTTTGATGACAAGTCCCTTCTCCAACACAGGTGAGAGTCGGTGCTTCCCAAAAGTGCTACTGGGCAGCACTTGGCATGTGGCTGCTGAAGGGCATACTCAGGAAAGCCAAGGCTTCCAAACATCAATCATGTTACTACTCATGGAGATGATGTACGCCTGGGGCTGTGCCTGGGCAGCTTGTCCTCTCCCCTCCAGGCTCCTTCTCAGCCTTTGTCCATCTCTAGTGAACCAGTACTTTTGGAGTGCAGAGTTTGCTGGGAGGGCATTTCAGGGTACTGTCTCCACGTCTCCTTTGCAGGAGGACATAAAGGAGTGCTCACAAGTGTCAGGTGGGATAAACTCACTGACAACCAAATGGGCACTCAGAGCCATGGCTTATTTCATTTGTCATTTTCTTATGTTCATTCCTCTTCAATTTACAGGATAAAGCCAATTGGCATGAGGGGATTTCCCTTCACATCACCAGATAGAGTTGATTCTGCTTTAATTTTATATATTTTAAGCACTTTTTTCCCCACATAGAAAAACTATGCTTATGCATATTCTCATTACAGTCCTTCATTCCTGGTGTCTAGGACAATGCTAAACTATATCACAGAGAGGAAACGAAAGCTCAGTTGCCATTTCATGAAATCAACGATACTAGAGATAATCAAAGAACTAAAATAGTGCACTTCCACAACAAGAACATTAACACTGAAGTGCTTCCAGCAACTGAACCCCATCTGACGAGAGGCTGTTATTTCATTATGGCATTTCTCATGAGATATCTGACATATCTAATGAAAGGTTCTAAAACCAAGCTATCAACCAGCCCTGGAAGGAGCTATCCTCCACACAGATGTTGCTGAAGATTATACCCAAATATCTGAATTCTGATACTCATTTCTGCCCAGTGATGCCCTGGTATTTAGAACTAGTAGTAGGACTTCTTTGAATAAGAGATACTATAATTTATTCTTTCTGGAAGTAAAGAAAGAAGTTTTCAAGGATAATTTCATGGGATCTCTATGGATAGACCACCTGGATATATCTCTGCATGTTTATCTGATCTCCATAGGCTTGCTAATAGAAAGCTAATTATTCCACACATGATACTAGAAATACCTTTAGCTAAAGTAACAGCATTTCTGCTAATGCCAACTGAAATGTGCTCCAAGGAGCAGAAAGACCCAACTGGCAGCTCATTTGCAGTCACAAGAAAGAGTTAAAAGGAAAAGCTCCTATAGTAACTTTAGAGAATTAAAGAAGTCTTTAAAAAGAGTTTTCCATTCAAGGGAATAATCATCATTTCTGCTGGGGAAGATGTTTCATATATCACATACAAAAAACCAAACAAACAAAAATCCTTATTTATCTATTAATTTTGTTCTGGAGGAAAAGAGCATTAAACAGCCATACATGCAATCTGTAGCGGAATGAACAGAGAAAACCAACATCCGTGTATGATTGTATTGTCTCCATCTCTTCTAACTGTCTCTAATCTATGAGTTAACACCTTAATTAAGTTTTTAGATTAATACTTTAAAAAATGAGAGTAATAATATGCAAAAATATATAAAAGATGTATGTATTTGCTTGCTATTTTCACATCTTAGACTTCTTCAGCTCCACTGAAGACACTGAGATATATCACTTTCTGTTAATATTTATGGAATAATATAATTCGCACTTTCAAAAGATTCACTCAATCTTTGGTAAGAAAAGGAAATTACATGCAATAATGCACAATGAACTGGATCTCTAATGTAGTACAAGGTACCTCGAGGGCAGAGAAAAAACTACATGACGACATTTCTCATTATACATGTGTCAAATTAAGACTCATTAACTTAAAACCAAAACTGTTTACAGCTTATTATAACTGGAATAGGAAACTCAGATCCTGCCCTCCCCCGGCTGAAAATTAAATCAAATAACAACCCAAAGGTCTTCACTCACTAGGAAAGTGGAACTAGTTTCTTATCACCAACATCCCACCAAGTTGTAAATGGTTTAAGATGCAAGTTTAACAATGCTAGCCTGAAAGCACAAAAAAAAAGGGTAAGAAAAACTCACATTTTACACTGGGAAACAAAAGCAGCAAGCACTTGACTAGGAAAATCCTCCCAAAGTTCATTCTTAGGGTGAAAAAAAATCCGGTGTCGCCTTGTCTAATGATAGCTCCTGGCAGGTGGAAGGATTTTCTGCTGTGAGCAGGCAGTGGTGGGATGTGTCAGCACAGCCCTCGTGCCCTCCTCCCCTCCACCCGCTCTCACCCCAGCACTTCTCGTTTCTAGCACAGGCACAAAAACCAGGGGCAGAAGCACCTCTTGATGCAGCGTTTTGTCAGGATAGGGACAAAGTGCAGCGACAAGGAAAACGCACACAGGAACACCCCTGAAACCCATCTACCCAGCTGGAGGCCTTCATCCTCTTCAATGTTCACCCAGAGTTCAACTCCAGCACCCACATCAATCCTATTGGGATGGGTGCATTTTTGGGGTAGGGATGAAGGGAATCCTTCTGCTGTCCCACAGCCTCAGCAGCAGCAAGGGGACAGCAAGCCCAGGACCCCCAGTGGGGAGCAGGTAGCCAATGGGTGTTGGACAATGTGTAGAAAGGAGATAGATACACTTCTCTTGGAAACCATCAGGGTCAGCTTCACATCAATGTCTGATCTATGAGAAGCTGGCTGGTGCCACACAAAGTGTCCTGCAGGCACAGTGTGAGCAAGCTGAGAAAGCAGGGGATGAACACACTGCCTTGTGCCTGGGCAGAAAGCAGCTCTGAAGCTGGTTGGTGTGGGAATGATGAAAGAAGCTGGGAGGAGGCATGGGACTTAGCCCTAAAGACATGTGAGAAGCTTATAAAATCTTTATTCCTGATTCCAATATCAAACAGGTGGGGTGGTGAGGGTTTGGAATCATAGCATCCCAGCACAATCCCTCTGCTACAGTGGCCACTGAAATCTTCCAGCATTTTATCGCTAATGTAGACCAAGAAAGATGACAGAAAAAAAAGCTGTGTTACAGGAGATGTACAATGTCAGATGAACCTTTTTCCTTCATTCATGTCATTCTTCTTCCTTGCAAGTATAGGAAGATCTGATAAGACACCTCCCCTTCTCTGGCTTTATCATCTTTTAACTGGTACTAACGCTGGTAAAAACTACCCCTTTTGGCACGAAAGGAGAAAAAGTTTTCTGAGGTGAAACATGCCATGGTCACAGTATTGGTTCCTCCACACAGCACAGGAAAACCTAGCTTTTCTTCCTTCTTTTTGTTACTGTTTCCTTACGAAGAACACACAAGAGAGGCACACACAAAGGGAGAGAGGAAGCAGCAGCAGCAAGATGACATTTCTGTGTCCAGCATCTCTCTGTGGAGAAGAGCGAGCCGAGGGCAGGGGCTGCTGTGACGAGGCATCTCCCCAGCCAAGCAACACTGTGCGAGCAGCGCTGGCCCCAGGGCTCTGTGGTGACCTCTTTCCCCAGCCACACTGGTGAGGACATGCAAGGTCTGCACACTTGGACACATCAGCTTCCAGCCCCAGCCTCAGCACCTATGGGGACTTGGGCAAAGGCAGCAACCCCGATTTGTTCCACTGGGTCCATGAAGCAGTGCGGAGGGGGAGGCCCCTGACACACTGAAACCACTGCCCACACTCTGCTCATCCTTGTCTTGGTTATTTCTCAAGGCAAAATCCCTCAAAGCCACCGCCTGCTTTGAGCATACCTCTGCACTTTGCCTGTTTGTCAGATCACCAACACACAGGGGCAGGGACTATCGTCCTGCTCCATACACACACCGAGCCTGCTCGGTGCTGTCCTGCTCGCTGGGTGCTGCAGAGCTGCAGGCAGAAACGGGCATTGGTACAAATGAAGTACAAATGGAAAGACACGTGTGTGTGCGAAGGTGAGAGAGAGTCAAAGACTGATAGCAGCAAAACGAGGCTTGAAAAGGATGCCCTGTGCTTGTAAGGCCACTACTTCCAGTTAATCAAGTCTGCCATGCAAAGATGCCCATGCTTTTGTAAAAGCACAGCTGAAACGTCTCAGACTGGAAGCCCCTATGCTGCAGACAACCAGTTACAGCACATCAAGCGTGGCATCCATTTTTCATCTTAGAGCAACAGGTAGACAGGAAAAGAAACCACTCCTAAAGGACATAAAAACCCTGTTGAAAAACGAGCTTGCTGTAAACAGTGAAGAGGCCCTCCAGAAAGGTGGTGAGGACACAGTAGTTGATGTCCCCTGTCCTCTGTTCATCACAAACATGACCCCAAGCTTTTGTACTTAGGGATGTGTGCACAAAAGCAACTTGCTTAGAGATTTTGTGTAACAAAAGCACAGCTCAGCCAACAAAGGGGCACAGCACCCACCTGTAACAAGGATTCCCCACGAGATCCTGGCGTGTACGTGGTCCATCCCACCGAGCAGCCCCTTTCCCAACCAGCGTCGGAAACCTCTTGCACCATCACACCCAGCTAGACAAGGAGAAAGCAGCCCTTGTCTCTAACCTCAGCCTTCCTGCCAGATGAGAAGTGGAGAAATGGCAATAACCTTGCAGCTTTACCCTCCCTCTCTTGACAAGCAAGACAATGCTGTGTTGCAGTCTTGGCTGGGCTTTGACACCGGTTTAGAAGGAAGGGATTTTCTGCATGTTACTAGGAGGAAGCACGGGAAGCCCCTGCACTGATGTCTCCAGTTTCCTACAAGGAAGGCATTAAGGAGTGGGTATCTGAAGGTACCTCTGGGAAGTACTGCAGCTTTGGGCTACTGCCGCAGAGGAGCTCTGGAGGCAACAATGTGCCATGGGACACGTCCCGAAAACAGCTACAGCAGAGAACACTGTAAAGGCTCCACACCGACTGGCAATGCCCCTCAAGGACATAGCAAGAGCTACTGCTGGTAGCTGTGTCTTGCCACAGCCCAAACACCAACCCCCAGCTGGGCAGGATGATGTGAGATCTGCCAGGCCTAGAGACAACTATTCCCTCACACTCTCCTGCTCGCTGCAGACACCCTTTCTCATACCCATTACACAGGAAGTAACACTGCTGGGCTAAACACAAGCCAGCTAGAAAAACAGGGCATCAATAGAAAAGTAAATGCCTCCCAGTATGGTGGTGCTGGACCTGTCTTCAGCTACGCCTGTGATGCTCAAAGCTCTTTGATTTAGGCCTCTGTTTAGCCCATCACATTGCTAGACATTTCCATCTTACGATAGACAGCAGAGCAGAAGAGGGAGTGCAGCTGTGACAATGGGCTGTTTCTTTGCAGTCACTGTGGTATTGTTTCCACTGCAAAAGCCACAAAGTGCTGCAGGCATATGCATTTGCTTTTGTTGTTTGCTCTCTTTTACTCTTCCGTTCATTGTGATACACTAAGTGGTTTCCTCACAAGGAATGTAAGTATCATACTTACATATACATGTAGAGATGGCGGACTCCCACACACCTGAAGGTAACATCTCAAGAGATAATATGTAGATGTTCCCAGCCCTAAGTCTTCAACCTAATGATGAGCCAATAAACATTCATGCTTGAGGCTTATTAAGATTAATAAATTTAAAAAAAAAGAGATATAATTTTATTAGATCTACTAAGGTAGAAGTGTGCTTGTACTCTTTCTTGTGAAGGAAGAGTACAAGTACACTTAGCATGTTCTCAGGAAAGTCAGTGTGCAATGAGCCAGGGTGGATGTGTAGACCATCTGCTAAACTTGCACCATCTCATCTGGTATGAAGCAGAGGTCATATTAAAGTATTTGCATGCAATACTCTTCCCTGAAAGAAGTCAGACACCCTGCACTCACCAGCACCCAAGACCCTCACCGTGAAAAATGGCAAGAGCATTACAAATTCATATCTCTCAGCTTCTCACAATGACAGGCCTAGTTTATGAGGAGAAGAGGGAATGTGATCTTGATGGAAACACGAGATGGGCAATACATGTGGAGGCAAAACTTTGGCTAAGGCTAACCTTGTTCTTGGGAGCTCTCCTGGGTCTGTGCCCTAGCCTGGGTTCCATCGGGGTTGCCCTGGGTGGTAGCTGAGGGTTTTGTGATGGCACATTCCCTTCCCCTTTACTGTAGCCTTTGCGACGACGGGGGGAATTGTGGGCAGTGGCTGGAGTGGGGAAGAAGCAAAGTCATCTCTGGCGGTGGGAGTTGCCCCTGCACTGTGAAACGCCAAGGAACTGCTGGCTTCCACACACAGTTTCAGCCATTTGGCTGATGAAGGCCACATACCACATCCTCTTCACTTCTGCCTTACACAAAGCCAAGAAAGGAAGAAATTCAGCTGGAATGAAGTACTACAAAGATGAAGACCAAGAACTCAAAAAGAAAGCTTTGGCCAAGGGTTTAGTGAGGATGCTGACTTGGTGGCTTGGAGCCTGTTACGTGCAAACTGAAAGCACTGCTTTGCCTATATGCAGTGGAAATATGCCATAGTGAGACACCCTGTCAGCACCGCAATGGCTTCTGCAGAAACGTTTTTATCCTTCTCTAAAAAAAGGTAAATGGAAGCTTTCAAACCAAGACTCATGCACAGTAGCCCTCAGCTGATAATCTGAAGAGAAACAGTTCCCTTTTGATGTCTATAATACCACATCATCAGCCTCAGGTGTTCTCTCTCTCCAACCTGTTTTCTTCTTTTCCACCTGTAAGCGTGTGTCAACAGCCAAAACTCACAAAAACCCACCCAGTTTAAGGTTTCAGTCTGGTCAGAAGGAATGTAACCCCCTTAGACAGAACAGTCTGACAATCTGTGGTTCAAAACGACTGAGGCTACAGCAGCTGTCAGCACCCCATCAGACAGTTATTCTTGTAGACGGTGCATTTCAGTCTTGCTTGTCTGGCATTGATTTCCATCATCTATAATGATCCTAGATCTAGAACGTACCTTTCAGCATCTTATTGTAGTAATTTCAGTGACATTACTACTACTGCATACCATGCTGCAGTCCAAGCAAAAGTTTGCTGGCATGATGCAATTAAGCTGTCCTACACAAGAAGCCAGACAGATGAACAGAACAGCCTCTTTCAGTCTTAGCAGTGATAAATACACAGTGACCTGTATTAACTACAATATGACCCTTCATTACCAGAGAGGAGCTGGACCAGCTACCCCAGGA